GGGTGAAATCGGGGACCTTATGGGCTGTCTGACATGCTAAGTTTGTTCCAAACCGATGGAACATCCTATGATGTTGCATCAATGTTCTGCAATGGCGTGAAATGGCGTGAAGTGTGACACGCAACGGGTATTTCACGGCTGTTTCACGGATATTTCACGGCTTCACGGTTTCACGGGTACGTGCACGCAAACATCGCGCGTTGTAATGTTTTGTGTTGGTTTTGTCGCATGGGCCCCAAACGGTCCAACCGTGCACCATGGAGCGCTTAATGGCAATGATAAGCCCTGTCGTGGCCCCTCCAGGTTTCCAGCCAGGGCCAATGCGTTACTTGACCAAAGTGCAAGAACTCTTCGGCAGTACAGACCGCACCATATCACCACACTTCGGAGCAGGGCCAGAGGGCAAGCCCGCTGTCCTGCGCACTGCTGGACGTTCCCCAGGGCGATGCGGCGGCCCATACCATACTTGGCGCAACGGGGGAAGGAATAGGCAGATGAGTGGGCAAGCAAATTGGCGCCATGGGGGAGTAGAGTCGAGTAGCGACACCCTCGCGAGGGGAGGTGGCAGGAGGAGGGCAAGGGGGAGGGAAGGGCTGATGAGGGAAGAGAGTTGCGCGTTCGACACATGGGGGTTCGAAGTCGGAGAAGTTGGTTGGATGTCCCAATCTCTTCATCATACTTGTCCTTCCCCTGTGTCATCCTTGCATGTTCTATGCCGCTGCCCCTGTCTCACCCCCCCTCCGCCCCATCCTCGCCATCATCCTCACCGCCCCTTCCCGCTTCCAACTTGGCGAAATCCGCCGGGCCCCGCTCGGGGCCCACACTCAACAATTTTCCGCGGCGCGTCCAGCCACGGCGACGAGGAGGGACCCCAAAGGCCAAACAGCTACGAACGTTGATCCCCGAGGCCATGCCGAATCACAAGCATTGTCTGCGTCGTCACCCCTTCCTCTCGTAATCTCCCCCGGGACCGAGCGCTGGCAGGCAGCGCGTTTTTTTTTCCTGGCGCGATGTTCGCGCGTGCCCGTTGCAGGTGAGGAGGCGGTGTACATTGAGCAGGATAGAGCATGCAGACAGGAAAGTCGGGGTGGGGTGCCTGGGAATTGAGATCGTTTGAGGAGGTGGAGGGAAGATGAGGGCACATGTGCACTTCAAACATGTATAAGCTTGCGCGCTGTGCGCAGAATCAGGCCGGCGGCAGTGGTAAATCCTATCAGCCTTCTGGGCGTGGTGACCCTAATTAGGGGCCCCCCCCTCCTGTGATTGACCCCACCCAAGATGGCCCAAATATGGCACCCAATAGGGCCCCAAGAGGTGGCCCGGAAGCCCCAAGAGGCCCCCAGGATGCCCCCAAGAGACCCCCTAAGAGGCCCCAAGAGACCTCCCAGAGGCACCCAAGATGCTCCAAGAGGCCTCGGCGAGAATGCCAAATCACTGATGTTACTAAGGTTTTAGCCACATGTTGGCCTCTTGGGGGGCGCTGATTAAGATATATTAAGATGGCTCCAAGAGCGCCTGGGAGAGCCCAAGATGACCTCCAAGATGGTTCAAGATATCCCAAGATGTCTCAATGGCTCCCGCGATGCCCCAAGATGCCCCAAGACCGCTCCAAGACTGCTCCAAGTGGCCAAAGAGCTCCCCCAGGAGGCCCCGAAGAGGCCAAAACCTCAGGAACATCTATGTGTTTGGTTTTCTCGCCTTTTCGCTTCCGGTGGCCATCCGAGGCCTCAAGATGGCTCCAAGATGGCCCAAGAGGGCTCCAAGAGAGGCTCAAGAGAGCCCCAAGACGGCCCCAAGAGCGCTCCAAGAGCGACCCAAGAGCGCCCCAAGAGGCGATGTGTTGGGCTCCCGAGGGGCAACGCTAACTAATGCTCGCTTCCTGTTTGATCGATGCCCTCCAAAATGGCCCCAAGAGCGCCCCCAAGGCTCCCAAGAGCGCTTCAAGAGGGCACCAAGAGGCGCCCAGGAGGCCCCAACAGGCGCCTAAGAGGCCCCCAAGATGCTCACAAGAGACCCCCAAGAGGCCCCAATAAGCTCTCCGAGGCACCCAAGATGCTCCAAGAGGCCTCCACTGGGGGACCTTTCCTCTGTGTGCTGCCCACTTCCCTGATTGAGGTTACGCGAAGCGTCTAGAGTTTAAGCGACGCCAGATGGGTTGCATAGGTCATTGGGAAGTAAGGTAGGCCAGCACGCTCTGCATCTCCGCCAAGGGTGCACAGTCTGTCTTGGAGCGCGCCTTCTTGAAGAGGTCCAAAGTCTGCTCACCGGCGGTGTTGGCTTTGCGCTTCTTGAGTTTCAGCCCCGAGTAGTTGTCCTGGTACATCTTCACCAGAGCGTTGCCGAATCCCCTGGGGTAGTGCTGGGATTTCTTGAGCTGCTTCCCGCCATTAACCTGTTCACGGCCATCAGAGCTGTATGTGATGCGCACCAGGTCGTCGTCCGTAAGCTTGTCAGGGGATGTTTTTTTTTGCCTTGGACTTCCAAGTCCTTGATGCACTTATCATTGCACCGCCATACCGTAGGTTTCAACGACGGTGCCCCAAAAGCCCCCATGTACACAAAGGCTCTGAACACTTTGATTTTGCGGAGCATGTCTTGGACATCAGGGTGGCGATTGAGAATTGAAGATGCTGGTTGCTCCAGAATCCATAAGCCCCCACGGGCAGATATGATAAGCATCAACAGAACACAGCGCGCAACCATCTTATTAGCTGCCACCACTTGCGGCCTCTTAGTCTTTCCAAGGGGGCCCCATTCTTTGCGCCCAGCCGCATGCCTGTTCACCCATACCCAAGTAGAACAAACTGGAGCTAGCACATGGATGCCGCCTGGCTTGCAGCGGAGGACCATGCGCAAGGCATTGGCAAACCCAGCGTCTGAATTCATATCGAATTGGCCGCCGGGAACATCATCGTTGATCTCAAAAGGAATGACAATTTTGCGCGCGCGCCAGCAAGCTTTTGAGAACTCGCTCTCCTGCAAAGAATTCTGTGCCATCGGCATCTGGGCGCTCCACAGACTTCCACAACGTATCATTTGATCTGATGGCGAGAATACATTGCAATGGGATCAGCGGCACCCCGTGTTCAAAGAGCGACTTCAAGAGCAACTGTTTTGCGTTAGTAGGTTTTGTCGTGTAGACAGCTGCTATCCGATTGGACTCGGCTTTGCGTTTTGCGGCCATGTCTGATCTGCTCTGTTCGTGTGCAACTCGCGAAGCTTATGCCGCAGAAAAGATTCGGCCACTGTTCATTATGAGCCAAAACGGCTATACTACACAAAGAGGAGGGTGGAGGGGGGAGGATGACAGCCATGATGCTGATGCTGATGCTGATGATGCAGATGATGTTGATGATGATGATGATGGTGATGGTGATGATGACGACGATGATGATGATGCTGTTGATGATGATGAGGGCCAGGCTTGCTCGATAGATTCAGGGGGGATACCACCGACGACGACGGCGATGACTGCGACGACGACAACGACGACGACATGGACGATTGAACCCACACTCCTGGGCCCAGGGGGCACCTGGAAACCCATGGGCGCGGGGGGGTAGCGCGGCCCCGAAAACCATGGGTGCGGGGGGTGCGGTCGTCGTCGTCTCGGGGCTCATCTCATAGGCCCCAAGACGTGACATCGTCGTCGTCGTCCTCGTCGTCCTCGTCGTCATCGAACGCGGTGCCAGATGCGCATGCGCCGCGACCCATCTATTCCCGCGACCCGCTTGCGACCCGCGGTCGTCGGTTGTCCGTCGTCGTCGTTCCGTCGTCATCCTTGGCGTCGTCGACTTCGTCGTTGTGGCGGCGGGCGCGGCGGGCGCCTTGTCGGCGCGGCCGGCGCCGCGAGCAACCCCCCCCCCAGCGCCGCGGCGCAAGTGGCTCGCTGGCGGCGAGGGTCGACGATGAGGAGGAGGAGGAGGAGGGGGAGAACGAGGTGGATGAGGGGGAGGGGGGACGAGGAGGAAAAGGATAGCGAGGATGAGGATGGGGCGCAAGAGGAGGACGAAGGGGCGGAGGAAGACAGAGCAAGCAAGGGAGGATGAGAGCTGGGAAAGACGCGAGATGATAGGGCGAGTTGAGGCGGCCTTGCCTCCAGGGACTTCCGGAAACCTCTTTAGGTCCCTGGGGGCCACCGGGGGTCCGGATCCGGGGCGGGAGCATAACTTACCACCCGCTTCTCCTCATCTTCCTCGCCCCCCTCATCCTCCCCTCCTCTGCGCCCGCCCTCCTCGTTATCTTCCCCCTCCTCCCCCTCCTCCCCCTCCTCCTCCTCCTCCTCCTCCTGCTCTTCCCCTTACTTCTCCTCCCCCTCCCCTTCCCCCGGCGCGCCGGGCGCAGGGCGCGCGCGGGTGGCATCGCGCGCACCGCGGCGCAAGGAGGAGGAGTAGGAGGAGGAGGGTGACGACGACAACGTCGACGTCGACGTCGAGAAAGATTAGAAGGAAGGAGTTGGGGGCGTGCTGGGGGAGAAATGGGGTGGGAGAAAGGACGCAAGGGATGGAGGAGGTAAGAAGAAGACAGGCGAGATCAAGTGGATGGTGAGGGGTCCTTGTCCTCCTCCTCCTCCTCATCATCATCAGCATCATCATCGCCATCTCATTCCCATATCACAATCGTCATGGTCGTCATTATCATCATCCGCATCCTCATCGTCATAGTCGTCGTCATCATCATCATCACCATCATCATCATCATCATCATCATCTTCACTCTCATCCTCCTCATCATCATCAGCATGATTATGACCCTCCCATTCCTCCTCCCCCTCCTCACTCTCACCGCTACTCGCGCGCCACTCTCGCCCGCAAGATCCCACGGGGCTCGCGACGAGGGCCTCGGGACCTCCGGGGGCCCGCGCTTGTTTGTCTGTTTGTTTGTTTCTGCGAATGGCCGCGCGCCCCAGGACTGCAGCGCCTGAGGCATTATTCCGATTGAAATCATGCCCCGTATACACGCACTATGGTGTATAATTTACCCGATCATGATGGCATTGCTTAGGCATGGTCCTGTGGATACCCTGAGTTGGAGCATGCTAGGTCCCAGGATGCCTTGATCCCGCCGTGCTCGCTCCACGTGATGTGACGTTGCTGGGGGGGCTCGCCGTTCGATGTCTTGCAAATCCAGAACGCTTTCTGATGCAACAGTACTTTGATCTGGCTCCCATTCTCATGCTGGGCCAACGTGTAGCTAGAGCCCCCTAGGCCTTTTGGTAGCTCGCTCTGGGGGTAGGCCCGACTCGGCATGTTGTTCGGGATCGCGTAGCCCTGAACGGCGATGGCCCCTCTGGGCGCAGGCGGGGGGGGGGCGTAAGGAAGGGGGTGGGGGAACAGTGGCAAGTGGGAGCATGAGGAAGGGTAACCAAGAGGAGGAGGTGGAGGAGAGGAAGGAGGAAGATGAGGAGGAGGAAAAGGAGGAGCAAGAAAGGAGGGGAGGTGCAGGGGTTGACGAGGGAGGAGGTCAGAAGGGGGAAGTGGGATGGAATATGTGGGGGAGGAGGGGGAGGTCGGACGTTGGATAAAGTGGGGGGGAGGGGGGGCAGAGGGGGAGGAGGAGGGATGAAGGAGAGGAAGGAGGAGCCTCCTTCTCTTTCCTCATTATGCCCATGGATCGATCCTGTGACGACCTCCTTGGTCTGCTTGCCCTTGCACTGGCCCTTGCTCACCTTGGCCCTGGGCTCGGAGCCGCCGGAGTTCCCGGCGCGCTTCTTGCCCGAGCTGTGGACCTCGTCCTTGCCCGAGCTGTGGACCTCGTCCTTGCCCCAGCTGTCGCCCTTGCCCTTGCCCGAGCTGTGAACCTCGTCCTTGCCCGAGCTGTCGCCCTTGCCCTTGCCGCGCTTGACCTTGCCCGAGCTGTGGGCCTCGTCCTTGCCCGAGCCGTCGCCCTTGCCCTTGCCCTTGCCCGAGCTGTGGACCTCGTCCTTGCCCGAGCCGTCGCCCTTGCCCTTGCCGTGCTTGACCATGCCCGAGCTGTGGACCTCGTCCTTGCCCGAGCCGTCGCCCTTGCCCTTGCCGTGCTTGCCCTTGCCCGAGCTGTGGGCCTCGTCCTTGCCCGAGCTGTCGCCCTTGCCCTTGCCGTGTTTGCCCTTGCCGCTCTGCAGCAAGTTCTGTTCGATGCTGCTGACAGGAGGCGGCGGTGCTGCTGCCATCTCACCTCTGACTTGCTCCACCACTGGCCTGATGGGCTCGGCCCGCGGGCGAAGGTATCGCGAGCGCATGTCCGGGACAGGGTCTAATGGAGGGCCTTCGCAGCCACACAGCTCAGCAACGTACTCCATGTCTTTGGCGCTGCTCGCCGCCGCATCGCCGTCTTCCTGCGCCTGGAGCTGGCCTGCCAGGTTAAGGGTGTCTTCTGTCAAGTCGCCGACGTCATCGATCGCCTCGATGCTGGGACTCTCCTCCACCAGGTCGTCGTAGTCCTTCCGGCCACCACCGCTGCCCATGGCTTCGTCCTTGCCGTCGCCCTCTAGCAACTGATCTTGCCCAGCCTCGGCCTGACTCCCCATCGGCCACTCCTGCTCAGCCTCGGCCTGACTGCCCATCGGCCACTCCTGCTCAGCCGCAGCTAGACTGTCCTCTGGCCACTCCTGCTCAGCCGCAGCTAGACTGTCCTCTGGCCATGGCTCCTGCTCAGCCGCAGCTAGACTGTCCTCTGGCCATGGCCCCTGCTCAGCCGCAGCCTGACAGCCATCCACTATCACGCCGTCGTCGACCGCCATATCTGCGCCGCTCTTGGGCGCGGCGTCGCCGCCCTCAAGGGGCGCGCGCGAGCCGTCTCCCAAAGCGTCGACCTCCAGATCCTGGCCACCGAAGGGCAACTGCGAACCGTCCTCCAAGGCCTCCCAGGCCATGCCGCTCTTGGGCGCGGCGTCGCCGCCCTCGAGGGGCGTGCGCGAGCCGTCTCGCAAGGCGTCGACCCCCGGATCCTGGCCGCCGAAGGGCTTCTGCGCACCGTCCTCCAAGGCCTTCAAGGCCTTTCCGCTCTCCTCATGCCCGGCGCCGTCGGAGTCGCAGCACGGGTTGCTTTCCATCTCAGAGAACCCGAGACCAGCTTGATCCTCATCTGAAGAGTGGATGTCCACAACTCCCGTGCCTGCAGGAGTTCCCGTAGAGCCAGTGCTGGAGCTTGTCCTGGGCTTGCACGTGTAGCACGCGCTAGCTTTCAGGTCCTGCACCTCCGGCGACCGAGATGCCGGGCCGCCCTTCGAGCCTCGCAAGAGTGAGCGCGAGTACTGCAGGCACCTTTTCCGCAACCCAGCAACATAGATCGCGAGCGCATCCTTGGTGTCGAGCTTCAGGTCTTTCACGATCTGGCGGTTCAGGCGAAGCAAATTCCCCTGCAAGTGGTGATCCTGCACGCGGAGGGCGTCCGCCAAGAAGTACACGCTCGGGATCTTGTCGGGCATCGCGGTGATGGCTCCCTTGATGTAGTGGTAATTGGCAATCAGATCGCTTTCCACCGGGCCCTTCAGAACGTCCACTATGTGAATCGGGTGGCGGGTCGCGTCTTCCAGCAGGAGGCTCGTCTTCAGGCCTGGGTCGATGTTCTTCAGGATCCAGTATGCGCACATAGCAACCTTGTCCATGCAATGGTCACTCTGCAACAGATGGATAGTGTCGTCAACGTCGCCATCATCATCTGCAGTGGCAGAGGCCATGTCTACTCTGCTGGGCGGTTTGTAGGGCAGTGACTGCTGCCTGCCTGTGACTTGCCCGTTGCAATGCCTCCCAATATCGTTTGAGACAAAATGGACGATGGAGAATGGAGAGTGCCCGAATGTGGGAGGGGACCCGACCAAGAACGCCCACAGGGCCACGAAACCTCGCAGGGCCCCAAGGGACAACGCCCCAGACGCCCAAGATCACCCAAGCTTAAATAACGTCCAAATCGCCAAACATCAACCGAAAGTGATTATCATGGTATGTTTGATGGTGGCGCTTGTCATGGCGATTTTATTGTGATATTGGTGATGGTGGCGGAAATGATGACGTGTTTTGATCCTGGTGGTGATGATGCGGGTTCTGATGACAAGCTCATGATGGTGATCTAGGTGTTGTTGGTGGTTATGATGGCGTTTTGATGGTTGTGACCTTGGTGGTGATGGTAATGCTGGCGGTTTTGATGACTGGACTTTTGATTATGGTGGCGATGGCGCTCATGCTTGCGATTTTTCTTTATCGCCTGAGCCTCTCCACGCGAGGCGAAATATCTTATTGTCTTGCGCCTCTGCTGGGCGAGGTTACCGATTTCTGGTAATGAATTTGAAGCTGCATGGCAACATGTGTGCGCCAGCTTCCGCAGGCACGCCTATAACAAAACGCACGGCAAGCTTCTCACGCATATGCGAAATTGATTCCTTTCCAGATTGCCGAACAGCCTTTGAACATCTTGCAACAACGTTGGCTATCTTGCGATCCCAAGCCAATTTCAGTATCCAAATCACGCAGTAAACATGAAAGTCGTTGGGGCGCCATGTGCGTCAGCCAGCGGTAGCAATTCATGCAGCAAAATCGCACGTCGGCGCAAATCATATTCCCGCAAATGTTGAACTACTTTGTCTTCAGTTTCTTCGCCTTGCTCAATTCAAGCTGCTCCATTCTTGCCTAATGTATCTCCATGGCGAGCGAAAATGTTTGACCCCCCAATTCCATTGCATATTTGTTTGATTGCGCCGCGGTGAATTGCTGGTAGATCTTATACATCGTCATCCCCACGTCGCATCTGATATTGTCCGGGTGGTATGTGAGTTGATCTTTGTAGCGGCCTGGCAACAATATCGCAATCATGACGTTTTCACCACCTTCGCTGAGTTCAGTGCAAGCGTCTCCCGACCCCAGTGGTACATACTGTCGAAAATACGCTGGCATCACAATCAATTGTCTAGGCTCCCGCGTCTCTTCCTCGTTTGGCTTACGGTAAGTTGGCCCCCAAAATTCCACCTTGTAGCAAGATGGAAATGTCATCATTATGCACGCCGGCCCCGCCAACCATGACATAGATTGCCATGCGTTAGTCTTGAACGTCGCTGAATCTTTGAAGTGCCGCGTCGTATTATCCCGTTATGTGCCCCAGTGTGGGCTGCCCCAAAACACAAGCTCCAGATTCATGTCCATCTCCTTCGCGAACGTATCAAACGGTTTGAACTTCGTCTGAGTACTAAACCCCGATATGCCAAAGAAAGGCCCTGCTGCGCCCAAGTCGCATAGCACGTTGCTGCTCATGCATGTGCTTTCGTAGAGTTGATGTTGCTCAGGACTTGCGTCGTCGTTGGGCTTCGGCTGCTGCTCCAAATCTGTAAGTACCAGGCACTGGTATGGCAAGTCTTTCCCAGATCCCGCGCTTGCATCATGTCCACCAACAACAACAGATTCTTGCTCGCTGGAAACAACGCGAGCATCGCCCACAATCGGCCCATCATCCTGCTCGCTGGAAACAACGCGATCATCGCCCACAATCGGCCCATCATCCAAAGCCATGTTCAAAGATGTGCTGGTTGTTATGGCAGCGCCCTGCACTTGCAAGGCCAAAACAGGCTACGGAGGAGGAGGGTGGAGGAGTGCTTGTGTTTTTTGCGTTGGTTCCGGAGGCGGGTAGGGAAGGGCGCGAGATCTTTGCGAGCGCCCGCAAACGGTGCGATTCATGACACAATATGTCATAATTGCATGCGCAGATTCTTCGCACGCGACGACGTCAAGGATGCAAGGGCGGCCCGCGTTCCCCCCCAAAACACACGCGCACGCAACACAAAACACGCACACGCGCACGCACGCACGCGCACGCTGCAACATTGCGCGTTGTCTTATGGTGTGGATTATTAAGTTGTTTTCCATGTTTCTTATAGGTGTTTCAGTATCGTGCTATGGCATGTACAGTTGAATGTTGATACGTTCCATGGCCCAGGTGTTGTTTTTTGGTTCAGGGAGGGGGGGATAGGGACAGAGAGAGAGAGGGAGGAGAGGGGAAGGGAGGGAGAAAAGAGCAAGGGAGGAAAAGGGGAAGGGAGACCTCATGCACGCCGCGCGACGCGCACGGGACAACCCCAAGAAGAGGAGGAGGGGGGGGAAGAGGATGGCGAGCACCGCTGGTAGACCCCGCCCCCGCCCCTCCACCGTCCTCCATTTTCCATTGCTCGTTAACCTCCAATCCTCCACCCCCCCCGAACCGCTGCCCTCATGGCAAGGGCCCCCGTGGGGAATAGCGCCCCCTGGGCACTGCGCCCCGCGATGTCCCCCGGCCCCCGCGGCGCGGCCATGCGGCCAGGGGAAAGAAGAGCGCGGGGGCCGTAGCCTCCGGCACGCCGAGCCCCCGACGACCCAGCGGGGTTCCAAGACAGCCCACGAGGCACCCGAGACGGCCCATGCAGACCCCAACAAGATTTGCCCAAGAGGGAGACATCGAAGGCCCACTTTGCAAGACGGCACAGACGGCCCAACAGGGTCACAAGACGGCCCCACATGGTTCCGAAGCAACCTTGCAAACTATGAAGTGTAGGCGCGCATTAAAAAAACTGCGCAACTTTCATGGTGCACGAAAGCCTTTTCGCGGTCCACGAACGCAGCGGTTTTTGTGGCTTTTGTGGCGCATGGAAAAACCCGCAAGGAAATTATTGTGTCTTCTTGTGCATGAAAATTATAGCTGATGCATGAGCTCCAGGAAAACCGCGACATTGTTTTGGGTTTTCGTGGCCCCCCACGAACGCGCCGCAAAAATGTTTTTGGGTTTTCGTTCGCGTTGGCACGCAAGGATTTGCTAGAGCTTTATGTAAATTGTGCGTGTGTGTTTTTTGTTCGTGGAGCCCCGCGCCGCGGAAAGTTTCCCCCGCGCCATTTTGATTTAACTCGTAGCTTTCCACAACTTTATGGATGAGCCCCGCGGGCGCCACGAACATGTTTTCGTGGTTTTCGCGGAGCTCCACGCGCGCCGCGAAAAGGTTTTCGTGGCTTTCGTAGAGCTTCACGCGCCACGAAAAGAGTCATTTTGATTTAAATATGTTTTTCGCGTCGTTAATTTGCAATGGACGCCGCGGAAAAAATGCTTTCGTGCATTTTCAGATTGGGGAAGACTTTTCGTGCCACGAAAACTTTGCAAGAACATGTTTTCCTTGGCCATGCATGCCGCGAAGAGAAAGTTTATTTGAGTTCCACGAACGCAGCGAAAAAGTTTTCGTGCGCCACGAAAAAGGTTTTCGTGGTTTTCGTGGAACTCCACGAACGCCACGGAAAAAAACATGTTTTCGTGCGCCACGAAAAAAAGGTTTTCGTGGTTTCAAAAACTGATTTTAAAATTTCTGGGGCTCTTAAAGGAGGCCGACGGTAACATAGCATTTCGTGACATTCTACGAGCGCCACGAACTGGTTTTCGTGGTTTTCGTGGAACTCCACGAACGCCACGAAAAAAATGTTTTCGTGCGCCACGAAAAAGGTTTTCGTGGTTTCAAAAAGTGATTTTAAAATTTCTGGGCTCTTAAAGGAGGCCGACGGTAACATGGCATGTCGTGACATTCTACGAGCGCCACGAACAGGTTTTCGTGGTTTTCGTGGAACTCCACGAACGCCACGGAAAAAAATGTTTCGTGCGCCACGAAAAAGGTTTTCGTGGTTTCAAAAACTGATTTTAAAATTTCTGGGGCTCTTAAAGGAGGCCGACGGTAACATAGCATTTCGTGACATTCTACGAGCGCCACGAACAGGTTTTCGTGGTTTTCGTGGAACTCCACGAACGCCACGAAAAAAAAAAGTTTCGTGCGCCACGAAAAAGGTTTTCGTGGTTTCAAAAACTGATTTTAAAATTTCTGGGGCTCTTAAAGGAGGCCGACGGTAACATGGCATTTCGTGACATTCTACGAGCGCCACGAACAGGTTTTCGTGGTTTTCGTGGAACTCCACGAACGCCACGAAAAAATGTTTTCGTGCGCCACGAAAAAGGTTTTCGTGGTTTCAAAAACTGATTTTAAAATTTCTGGGGCTCTTAAAGGAGGCCGACGGTAACATAGCGCGAAAAGGTTTTCGTGGTTTTCGTGGAATTTCACGAACGCCACGAAAAAGGTTTTCGTGCGCCGCGAGAAAGGTTTTCGTGTTTAAGTAAATTTCAAAAACTGATTTTAAACATTCTGGGGGCCTTCAAGGAGGCCTTCGTTGACATGTCATTTCGCGCAGCGACAATTCAACGAGCGCTACAAAAAGGTTCGTGGTTTTCGTGGAACCCCACGGCGCGCTTATAAATTTGTCGCGCGCCACGAAAAGGTTTTCGTGGTTTTCGTAAATCTTTAATTTGAAATCTCTGGCCCTTTAAAGAGGCCGATCGGGGCTTTTTCATGCCGCGAAAATGCCACGAGCGCAACGAAAAACATGTTTTCGTGGCCACGAAAACGTTGTCGTGGTGAAATTCAGGCGATAACATGGCCCCACGAAAACTATATAGTTCTATAGGAATTAATACATATAATTGAAAAATATACGGAACATCCTAAATTAAAACGCGTTATGGGCCGACGGGAACATGGAAATTAATATTGTACCTTGAGGCGCGTCATTTGGAATTTCAGTCCGGCTTGCGTGGGACATCTGAAGAAAATCGCCGCGTGCATGGCCTATGAAAGTATATTCATCCGCCCGGGTGCTACGAGGATTCGAGGCCTCGGGAGGGTTCGGGAGGGCT